TCGACCATGCGACGAGGCAATCACGCCGGCCTCGGCTCTTTCTGCCTTCCCGAGTTGTGCTCTTTATCGTGCCTTGCACGCCGGAGAGCGGCTGTCTCGCGGTCGTTTTTCTTTGTTTCCTTCTTTATTTTTTCTTCTTTCTTTCGTAACTCTTAAAATAGTGCGCGAAGCTGCGGAGGAGCGGCATTGAGGAGGGGAAGAACGGGGAGCAGGTGCGAGGGCATTTATGGAAAACGCCTAATTAACGGGGCTGTCCTCACAAAACGAGCCTCCGTCCTCCCTTCGACGCGCGGCTTTCTCGTCATTATTATTGTTAATTTTCTTTTTTTTTTTTTCTTTTTTGAAGACGTATTTCCGTTTGTTTAGACACTTGCGTACAGATTGGAACGCTGTTGCGCGGACGAGTGTGTGCTTTCGTGAAATGGGCTCGCAGCGATCGGCGACCGCGGACGAGAGGATGAGGAGACACACTCTCATTAGGAGGCTGTGGGTCGCGTGACTTGTGACCACTGACGCTCGGCTACAGTACTATTGGCCGTCTGGATTGCTATCATGACGTCGCTCGCGCGAACTGCCGGGCCGGCTCGGCAGCCCCATTGATGCTCTCGTTGAAAACGCACGCGCAAACGGCAAAAAAGCACGACGTGTTTTGTTTAGTCTTTTCTCTGTTTATTAGAAAACATTGATGGTGACTTTTCTAGTTACTTGTATGAACACCGCGCGACGCCAAAAGCGTGGACGAGATATACGGGCGCTTATTTGCCCCTTTCTATCCCTAGGCATTACTAGCCCCCCAGCTCCAACCGCGCGAGAAAAAAAGATAGTAATCACCTTCATCCTGCGCATAGAGTCCCAGACGTACACAATGCGGACTTGTTATAGCGCGGCATTATTTCCCGACGAATTTAGTGGATGGCAGTCACGTGACGTGACACCAATCTCGTGACTACGTCTGGCGACATCACTTCCGTTGTGGTATCACGTGATATTGTGACGTCACATTACGTCAAACAGAACGGTGTCCCATAAACCGATGTCACGCGAGATTGACATCACGTGGTCATGTGACACTGTAGCGTCAAGTTACGTGGTCACGTCTCACCATGACATGCAACGCGTAGTAACATCGACCACGTGATTTTCATTAACCCGTGTTACCAAGTTTTCGTTGCAACTCTTCGTGACGCCCAAGGCTCAACGCAGTAGAGCATTAAACTTTAATTTAGAAATGCAGTTGTATTCCAATTAATGTATTAAACCATTACATGCAGAATTGCGTCTTCTGAGGAACGCAGGGGACGCTAACTCCTGCCTTTTATGCACGCGACGCCGTGTCTAGCGTTGTCACGTTTTCGTTTTGTTCCGTTTATTTTATTTTAGTTTTTGTTGTTGTTCTTGTGTTCGTAGTTTATCGGAGCTGGCGAAGTCTTCTCGACGCGTTTCGGAGTCCTCTCGGTTTTATTCTTCTCTCTTCGTCCTTTTATTCTTTTTTTCTCCCACAGTTACGTACTTCTATAGCATTGTCAGGCCGACAAAGCTCATACTCCTGGACAACGTTCTGTTGCATTTCAAAAGAAGTGAAGGGTGTCAGCGCACAGATTTAACTGAGGATCGGCGCTCAAGGTGCTCAAGTACCCGTGCTCCCATAGCTTGGAGTGCATCCACATAATGTCGTCTGCGAGCATAGTGCGGGTGTTTGGCAGCCGGCCAACCAGTCCAACTCTCTTCGACGTTGTTGACACGCTTCATTAGTACCCTCTCGAGGCTAAGCCGGAGTTAGCTTCTGCAACAACGCAACTGTACGTTTAAAACAACAACAACACAAAAAAAAAAAGGCGCGTGAGTGCATGGACGAACGCAAGTGCCTCGATACTTTGCCGCATTTGACACCAGTAACGGTTGTGTGTGTGTGTGTTTTCTTTGAGACTATGGGGGTCAGAAAGAGTGAATCCAAGAAACCACGGTGAAGCCACGTCGTACTTTCCCTGGCCGGTGTGTAGCATTGTCCGCACATACGCGCAGCACTCACGCAGAGGAGACGCCGTAAGCGAGTGTTTCGCCGCATAGAAAGATGTGCGCGGATTTCTGACGCTGCATCCTTCTCTGCGTACCGATGCCAAGAATCCGAAAGCCAAAGGACCCAAGAATAGATCGTCCCTCGAGTGTCACAGTCCGTTGCGCACTCTTGGCTCAGCGCTTTACGTCCTCAGAACTGGCAGGCGGTACGTGTCGTGCGTTTATAGACCCGTGGCTCGCCTTCTCTAAATTACATGGAAGGGCCTGCGTTGTTTGAAGTATTATTTCCCCGGACAATGCCACGTGTACCCTATTATTTTAGCCGCTCGTTTAAAACACCAGTTGCATCGCGGAGCATTTCGTGGATTTCCGCTTGGCAGGCACTCCGCGCTGTTTCACTTTCAGCTCCCCTGGTTTATTAGTCCTGGCACGTTTCTCGCTTACTTTATTCATTTCATGTCTACAGATGGGTCGCCTCTCGAGAGAAACAAAACAAGCAACTCCGCTCCGCGTGAAGAATTTCGTTCGGGGGTATGCGCGCATCGATGTTCACTTTTCACAATTTCGTTACTCAGTATCAAGACCTGTGACCTGAAGCATTTTGCATAAAATCAGTAATTGTCAGTGCACGGCACGATCTCCTAAAAATACAAGGGAGGGGGGGGGGGGGGGGAGCGAGAAAGAAAATTCAGCTATTGGAGCCCTTTCCGCGGAGAACACGTTTCTCAGTTTAAAACCTCAAACTTCATCTCGGCCATTATTGGCACCCTTTATATAGTCTCTGGTCACATTATCTCGCCCATTATTGGCACCTTCTATAGTCTCTCGTCACATTATACCAGCTGGAAAAATAATATATACTATATATAAAAAGTTACTATAATTGAGATCTGTATTCATTCATTTCTGTGACGCCGAACTCGGGCCCTGGCATTTTCCGCGGAGGAAAACGTCATCCACAATTCGTTCTTTGTCCCAAATGTCCTCACTTCAATTACTTTCCGAATAAACAAGGACACCCTATACCAGGCTGATATGAACAAAATGCCTCACTTGCAAAGTTCGCCATAAAAACCTTGTTTTTGTTTTATTATATAAAAAGAGTGAACACTTTTTTGTTGTTGCAGAAGTTTGTAAACCTGGATTGAAAATCAAGCGATATCGGTGTTGTCACAACACGCACGATGGCCGATACTACGCACGCGTTGTACAGAGGCTTGCAACCGCGATGATTCAGCGCAGTTGTCTTCCACCCGCGCTGCTTGCTTCGGACAGGGTTTTGTTCCCACGAAACTTTCCCTTGGTCAAGTACAGGGTGTCACAAAACAAAATCTACAGGGTCTTTTTCACCGCAAAAATAAACTAGGTCACCGAACGCTCATTCTCCGCTGAAAGTTAGCGCTAGAGGTCATAACCAGATGCCAAAGTTTCAGCCCGATCCGATAACTTAATCAAAAGTTATAAGTGATTTTCTAAAAATTTCAATGGGAAACTGGAGCCCATTTTCGCCCGTTTTCGGTTTCTGCTGTCATAGAGCCCCATGTCTTCGAAAACCCCGTCAGCTGCCATTTTCCCATTGAAATTTTCAGAAAATCACTTATAACTTTTGATTAAGTTATCGGAACGGACTGAAACTTTGGCATCTGGTTGTGACCTCTAGCGCTACCTTTGGGCGGAGAATGAGCGTTCGGCAATGCCTAGTTTATTTTTGAGGTAAAAAAGACCGTGTAAATTTTCCTTTGTGACACCTTGTACTTACACTGCCAACTGCAGCTGAACGAGCCAATATTAGAATACCACCGTTGTCCGGAGGCTCTTCGTGATAGGGCTGCGTTCTGTGCTGGTGCGAGACAAATATCCAGGAAGGATACTTCTTTGAAAGGAAAGCGCAAGAAATGGAGCTCGTCAGAAATAGGTCGATGTACGGGTTTCTTTCTAAAGATTACGAGCAAGATTATAAGGACGGAGAGCCAAGTGAGTATCACGAAACGTTATGAACTGGCGTTTCAATATCCTGCTACACAGACGGAGATGTGCTAGCGCCACACAAGCAAACGATGACCTGGGCAGATGTTCAGCAAATCTCCACGTGAAATGAAGCATAAATGGTCTCATCTACTGCGAAAACAGCAGCACTATTACCACTGCCGTCTAGCTGCAGACTCGCCGATCACTATACTCCGCCAGCTGCATAATACAGGGTGATTCAAGGAGACGCCAGGCTCTTTAAATCGACCGCAAAATTCGGTTTCTTAACCTGTCGCCCTACGACTTTGTGCAGCGTTGCCCACAGACGATGCATTTTTTTTTGTAAAATTTGCAAAGAGTGAACTTACCTGAGGAAAAAGTAAAGAAAGAAAAAAGCTTAGCTCCTATGGAAAAGCAGCGAAGCCACCGGTCTTCAAACAACACGGTGCCGTTTCGCACGGGAGACAAGAGATGGCGCAAGGGGCCGCGACGCCAACTGCCGTCAACGAACGAGCATACGACGCCGAGAGCCGGCGTCTTTAGCAGACAAGGAACTGCAGTTCCTTGTTTTTACCGCGCCTGTTTTTGTTTCTGCGACTGTAGCCGCCTGCGGAACGCGCGCCACTTTTGAGTCGAAAAGATCGTCTGCTACAGACGGCGGCTCTCGGCGCCGTATGCTCGTTCGTTGCGCCATCTCTTGTCTCCCGTGCGAAACGGCGCCGTGTTGTTTGAAGACCGGTGGTGTCGCTGCGTCTCCATAGGAGCTAAGCCTTTTTATTTCTTTACTTTTTCCTCAAGTAAATTCGCTCTTTGCAAATTTTACAAAAAAAAAAAAAAAAATTGCACCATCTAGTGGGCAACGCTGCACAAAGTCGTAGCGCTATAAGTTAAGAAACCGAATTTCGCGGTCGATTTAAAGAGCCTGGCCTCTCCTTGAATCACCGAGTAGAACGAACCACTGATCAACAGAGCTTAGAACCAGAACTAGAGTCAGAGAGGTGATAGAGTGGTGAGCGTCAACTCACCGCGCCATCAGCAGAGTCGGCAACGCCCTCTTTGCCGTCGTCTTTCGGCTCAAGGGTCTCCGTCGGGCTGCACAAGCGGGACGGGTCACGTGACGACCTGGACGCAGAGAACCGGCCCCCGAGAGAACACACTCAATGAGGATATAGCTTATGGGATGGGCATGACCGTCTAAATCGGACATTGCATGCCTCCCAGAAGAACGCAACCCGGGATAAACGTCCCTCTTAAGGGGCCTTAAGGAGGTTTCTGAGATTGCCTAACCATGGCGATAACTCACTGTGCGGTCTCTGAGCATCCTAGAACTTCCTAAATCACGAACATGTGCGGCCGATTTCTCTATTAACAAAAGCAATCAAAGATCGCAACACCCAGAGGTCATCTCAGACGATGGAAGGAGCATGTTCTAGAAGCCAGGATGACATGTCGCCAATGAAAACGCCACATTTCGGGGGGCTCGCAAACGTCGTTATTACCAAATATGTACTCTTTTGTGGATAATAAGAGCAAATGAGAGTGGGAGACAAATGTTAATTTATCGCGGTGAGCGAACGTAATACTGCGATAATCGTTCCAACAACAACGCACTATGTTTTTTGTTTTGTTTCTTTTTCGTTTTGCTTCCGCCGGAGTGATGTGTTCGGTCGTCTGCTGTTTTGTTCGCGAGCGCGCAAAAATCGTCGTCGTCAGGTTAGCGAGAACCATGGCGCAATAAAACGTGACAGCGATGGTACACGATTGACTTTGTCTGCTACGACAGTTCGACCGACTAAATAAACAAACTGGCCGCAGTCCGGGAGACTAACGTCCCTAGATGAACGCTGCAAGGTAACGACAATTTCTCCTCCCCCGACCCGATTCGTCCACTAGAGCCACTAAATGAGCTAAGTTTAGAGTACCGGCACTCTCTTCCCCGATACTTTTGAGGGCGCCGCCATTTTAGTGCTTGCACAGAGCAGACGTAGCTGCCGACCGACATCATTCAGAAGTCCGACTTTTTCAGCATTGGATTCGGTGTTGGGAAGCTCACGTAATATTCCTTTTCACTGTCGCGAAGTGTTCAAACATTTGCGGAGGACGGAAAAGCGTTTCCTGTGATTTCAGATAAAGCTTCAGATAACTGGCAACCACGATATTAAGCCACAAGATGGGTAGGTGTCGCTACTTAGAAGCGTATAGCTCATTTAGTGGCACTGTCGCCCGCCATGGCTGTGTTGAAAATCTTCCGAGTCACTCCGGCGGGTCATATCACGTGACAATCCAGACAGAACAACGCTGGCCGCGGGTAGGTTTTCGAACGCTAAAGAACCAAACCGTTACTCGAGAGGAAGGAGGAGCCGAATCCACCATATTCTTCCTAACCGCAAAACAGAACGCGTGCACGGGCCGGAAGCACTTCGCAAAGCGTTAATTGAAAAACCTGACGGGCGAGGAGTCGCGTCCATTCGAGACATCACTCGTCGGGTTCACCGGTCGGAGGCGGGAGGATCCTTCGCTAGGTTTCGGAACATGCTCCTCCCCTCCCCTGAGATCAGCTCGGTGTGTTGCGACCTTAGATTGCTGTTTTAATAGATAAATCGGACGCGTATCGTCATGATTGGGAGATTTGCAGGACGCTTAGAGCCAACAGAATGAGTTATCGCCATATTTAGGCGATCTGAGAAACCTGCTCAGGGCCCCTTTAACAATATGCTGATGATATTCAAGGCCGACGACCAGACAGAAGCTTTTGCAAGGCAAAAGATCCTCCTCACAATGGGGGAATAAGAAACAAGCAACGGTGGACAGGGTAGAAAGGGGCGAGAGGAGAAGGCGGGGGAAAAGTGGAAAGCGCGAACTGGGTCGTCGGTCTTTAAACGAACCTCTGAACATAATCTCCCAATACTGATGGCTTCGACGGAACAAGATCTAAACAGCCGCAATATTGTCGGGTCAGCGAGGAAGTAGTCCGCGCCAGCCGGCGGAAGCTTACGAGGACAGAAAATTGACCCCTATAGTCTTGAATACACTTAGAAGGATTACCAAAGTTTGACAGAAATGGGGAAAGACAACGTCTCGAACGTCCTCAGTCCCCCTTTTTCTTGTGCCTTAACACTTTTCGTAATTAAAATTTTCTCCCTGTTCCATCTCAGTTTCCGACTGATCTTAGTTCGTTCGCTCGGTAATACCATACAGGGGGAATATTGCAGAACATTAGCAGAACATTGCACCGATCTCAACAAATGGCATTTTACAACGTCACATTTTCTGAGTGTTTACTTGACAAGATACTTACCGAGGAAGTTGAGTTTCGCCGCCACGATCATATTTTAAAGGAAGCTGGTAACGAAACCGAAAAAGCAGCCTGGCTCTCTTAATTAAAAAAAATTAATACAATTGCCGAGCAAAACAAAACGCCGTCCACAGTGACAGTACCTCTCCACGGTACCACTTCCCCGCGATCAGTTGGGTTTCACAAAAGACCGCCATTTTCTCGCTGCACGAACGCCATCTTTACCAAGAGACCGCGAGTCGAAATACGCGCCACTCTGCGAGTTTCAGATTCCCCGTAGACGGCCGGGGTTGACGCATCACCTGAGAAAAAAGCGTCGGAGGGGTCGTCTCGTGCCCATACGCCAACTCACCCGGTGAAGTACTCGAGGGACACGCTCACGGTGTCTTGGGGGCTGAAGATGTGCCTGCTAGAGGCCTCCACTACGCCGCGGTCCTCTAGGCAAGCCACTTTGGCAGCTGCAGCGAAGGGGCAAAAAAGAAGGGGGTGTCAGGTCGCGATGGTGGCCGAGGCCCCCACGGCGCGCCAGAGCGGGAACACACCCGTCTTTCCCTTTCAACTGAACAATTAGTATCACCGTTCGTAATAATCGTGGAAGCTTCGTTCGCCGGAAAGGTGTGATACTGACATGAGTAGGCAAACAGCTTGTCTGCTCAGCACCCTCCTATCCCCTTTTTTACACAGACACACACATAAACACCACCACAGGCAGGAACGAGTGCCGAAAACACAATGAATAACGTAATAATAATAAATATTTCCGTTAAAAAATAACAAAAAGTCCACGAATAAAGAAAAACACACTGCACTATATTTTCAGCACTACGTGGCACGCGGTAAAGGCTATGTATAACCACCGCGAGCCACTGAGTGTGCCGGATTGGAGCACGTGGCAACACCCTATAAAAGTACAGTCCTGCGAAGAAGTCACGTGGTTCGCGCCTTCGTTGTGATTGGCTCACGCAAACTGTAGCTCTTGTTTTTGTTCTTTTTTTTTTTCGTTTTCGACACATTGCGCAGAGAGCATTATAGCCAATCCATTTTGACAGCCCGTACGCTGAAATCCAACCAGTCTCCCTGCCACGAGGAAGGCTGCCTCCAAGTTCTCGTTGACATCCACCAGGCCACCGCGAGCGCAGAGCAGCGAAGCATCAGCGCCGGTGCATCCGGCGATAGCCTAGATTGCGCAGACCGTATGAACAATAGGATGGTGCCCACCTGCGTCGGGGTACTGGTCGTAGAACTCCCGGCGCTGCTTCATCTCCTCTGAAAAAAAAAGAGGACGACCAACGCTCACGTGGACCCCTAATCGAGGAACAAACCATACAACTAGGAACGAGCAGCCACGACGACGTGGGGTGCTTGGTGGCGGGGAGCTATCGCGACACCTCGGGGAAGACTCGTTTCGACCCGGTGTTCCCACCAGCGAAAAGGCAAAATACTGGAGTAAAATCGCTTACTTTGGTAGAGTCCAGGAACCACCTTGTAGACGATGTCTTGCAGAGTCTTGTCCACCCTGGAGAAGGAGACGTGGGGGGAGGGGGGGGGGGTGTTAGAAAGACGGGCAGGGAACGAAGGCACGCAGACCTGCATGTGCGACCGGCCGTTCAAGCAAGAGGGCGGAGCGATCGTGCTTTTACCCCCGCTCTGTGTGACCCGATAAGGTATATGCGCCTACCTGAGGCAGCTGAGCGGCCTGGACTTGTGGACCGGCACGTCGCAGATGGGGCACAGCTTGCTGGTGTCCAGGTAGCGCACGATGCACACCTTGCAGACTGCAAGGAGAGAGGGACGCGTCCTCATCAGTGCATTCCAGAGGGAGAGAGAAGGAAGGCACACTCACAGGAGTGGAGGCAGTCGACCAGCGTGGCGGCGTTCACCAGGTAGCCCCCGCACAGCATGCAGGACAGCGCGGCGTTCAGGTCGCGCAGCAGGGCCCGGGGCATCCTCCCGGAACGCTGCCCTCCTCCTCTTCCTCAGCCGCCACGCTGCTCATGTGGACAAAGATAAAGGACAAGATTGAACTAATCGCCAAAGGTCAAATTAGGAATGAGCAGAATACTTTCAAAAATGTACTTGAATACAGGCACTAAATACTTCGACAAAAATGTGTTTAATTAAAAATTTAATGAAACTTTTAAAGGACAATACTTTACCGTATTTTCCGGACTAAGTCCGCACCCGCTGCATAGTCCGCAAGGGCAAAACTGGGGTAAAAAAAAATTTATTTGCTTAGCGAGTCCGCACCCGTTAAATAATCCGCACCCCGTGCATAGTCCGCACTTAAAGTCTAGTCCGAACGTAAAAAAAATATACAAAGCGGCCCCTGACACATGCCTACTGCATTTTCCCAAAGAAGCTTTATCGTACATAAATCAACATTAATATAGTCCGTTAATCATAGAATCCTTCACAACTGGTGGCAGTGGACGATCTAGAAAAAAAAAAAATCATTGTATAGTCCGCACCTCTAGATAGTCCGCATGTGGTGAATTTTCTACTTTAAAACATCTATAGTCAGGAAAATACGGTATATACAACATACAAATAAACGAGCAAATTTGATCATCTTCAAATGCATTTTCAAATACATTTTGTTCTCGAAGACCACCTTAGATTTGAATTTTACTCGACTAAAAAAGACGACACCCAAATAAAGAATGGAGTTTTTTTTTTTAATATATACTCAGAATCAAGTGCTTAGAGATAATGTGGCAGCTCTAAATATAGAATTTGTTTGTCGTAACTTCCATGGCGGATACAACGGGAGGGAAAACAATGTATTCTGCGTAAGATTAATAAAAAAAGGCTGAGTTTATTTATCAAACCTTTGCAATATACATATTAATTCGACGTATTAAAAAAATTTAATCACCTAACCAAAAAAGGCAATCATTATACTCATCCCATTTTTTCCTCGTTCAACTCTTCTTTTTTTCCCCAGAATGGCGCTTAGTTGCAGGTGTTTTTGGAAAGGAGAGCGGCGTCCAAGTGTACCACTCCCGCTTGAGCGGATAGCGTGGCATCAGATACATATGAGCGTAAGCCGTGGAATGTGTGTTGTCATTTTTTTTCTAATTAGTCTTTATTTGGATTTCCACCGATATTACCGGGTAGGGAGGCAGGGACAAAAGGCATTGCTGCCTGACAAGGCCCTCACTTTTCACAGTTCAGAGCATCATGCAGCGTAACAAGCGCCACATTCAAAATACGTCATCGAAATGTTCCATAACTGAAACGCCAAGCAGGAAAAACAACAATAGGGTAACACTCGCCACGGCCCTAATTGCAACAGGCATGTTGTCATCACACGCACGCAATGTCAATGGAAAAAAAAAAAAGTCACGTATCCCGATATTCGGGGCAAAACCACTTTAATCGCTCCTTTAAAAAAAAAATAGATTTGATATAAAACTAATATAATTATAAATAAGGGAAGACACACCAAGTGACCAGGAAGAGAAAGACGTGGTAAAACGTCTTTCCCCTCCAGGTGCTTTGTGTCTTCCCTCAATTATATTTACCGCTACCAGCAAGCTCTCCATTTAAAGTAAAGCAAGAATGTCTAAAACAAAATTGCTGTAGCGAATAACGAGTGTGCAATGCATTATGGCATGTATACTTATGTAAATTACCTGCAGGTGTGTTGACAAGAACTACATTTTTTGGGGGAGTTTTCCCGATTGGATCAAGCTGTACACGATATATAAACTAAGAAAAACTCGAGACGGAAAGCTGGTTCAGTGACGGACGACGGTGTTGCCTAATGCTTTCGTGATAGTGTTTCCTTTGAGGACAGCCTAAAAATTTAATACTCGGTAGGAGACATTGCTCTCCTGCAAGGAAAGAAAAAAAGAGGTCGTAGGTTTACACAGCCTCGAACTTGGTCTGCCTCAACGGGCGACAAAACTCCCAGCTGTAAATGAGCAATTTAGCCAGTGCAGTACAACAGCTAGCCTGGGGTATTTAACGTGCATCACGCAGTAGTAATACATGACCGCACGCGGGTACGATGCTCATCCAGATCGAAACGGGCAGGAGTGGGGATTGAACCCAGGATTCTGGGTTCTGCAGCACGAGGTTTCGCTCCACGTGCTCCGTGCTGGTGTGCGCTAACCCACCCGGCCACCGATCCCCCGCTCCTGCAAGGAGTGGCGTCGCCGCCTGTTGAATTTCATTTATTTCTATATTTAAGTTTTGAGAGGTAAGTTCCTTTTCCGGATATTTCACATTACCATTTTTACTGAATTCGCTTGACCATTAGAAATGAAAAAATAAGTGTTTCATGTTCCATAAAGTTTATGTATCTAGATCTATAGTTTTCACCTTGTATATCTTCGCGTACATTAATTATATAATGTGTAATAAGTGATGCTGATGTTGCGTTACTCGTGTTTTATTGCATGATTGTATATTTAACCAGTGCTGTTGCCAAATCTTTTTTGCTTTTTTTTACATTGCAATGGGACTACGCATATGTAGAAGGAGTTCAGATCCAGTCAAGCCGCACCCTTGCGGCTTATTGTCTGAGCTCCATACATCATTTGTTTAGTACTTTGTACTTGATAATGTTAAATAAACTTTGATTTGATTTGATTTTTTATTTGAATTTGGGGGGGGGAGGATGCCGATGATGATGGTGCTACTGGGGCAGGGTAATAAAGGCCGGTCCACACACCAGTGTTCGTTTACGTTGGGTTCTGTTACGGAAGCTTACGTCTGCTTACCTCGAAAGTCACCGGGACATCTGTACTTCGTACGGATCCTGTTACGTTATACGTAGGGCTCCGTGTTTTCGGAGTTCATTTTTCGTGAAATTCGGAGGGTATATTTGGGAGTTAATTTTTAGCGAAAATGAGTTGTTTATCGGAGTTTATTTTTCGTAAATCCCCAATTGTCCCAAATTCGGAGATTAACTGCGCAGTGTTTCCTATTAAAAAATAATAAATATTAACCGGATGCAAACGTATGCCAGATAAAAAATAAAACGCGCTTGTATCAATTCAATTTCTTCATTTGAATTTGGCGTCGGTGACAGTGAAAATACTAGTTTGCCCCACGACAAAAGTCGCACACAAGTGTGGCTTCGATAAACGTCCATACCCTAAAATCAATAAACTGCCGGAGGTAGCCGCAGGGAAGCTCGTGGTCATCCCATCAATCTATCCCGCGGCCGTGCAAGGTGGACTGCCCTTCTTCCCTACTTTATACTATATGTATGGTCCATAGCTTTTACTGTTACCCCCCCCCCTCCCCCCCCCCCCCCCCCGCGAAACGGGAGGCACTCACTTGATCGAATGACGTTTTAGCGAACACCCACGTTTCATCGAACGACACTTTAGCGAATAGTCGGACGCCGCGAAGCGGCGTTTTTGGGTTGACCAAATGGGTTCACATTTTTGTAATGAGCTGCCGCAGACTGTCGCCGCGAAGCGGCGTAAAGCGCAGCGCGACGGATGGGTTAACGCGCGCCCCCGTTATTCGCTAAAACGTCCATTCGCTCAAATGTCGCCGTTCGCTAAAATGTCATTCGCTCTTGTGATATGGACCCGTCGTGACACGAATGGTGCGATGACCTGTTTCCCTGAACCAACCTTGACGAGGCAAGCTGTAAGACCCCCCTTTGACAACGGTCCGATGCTTGAAAGGTAATAAAGGTGTAATTTTTCCAGGACCATTCATCCTGCGCTCCTCAAATTGAAAGAGAAAAAAAAACATTATTTGTTGTGTGTGTGTGTGGGGGGGGGGGGGGGTGGCATGGGCACATAACAATTCGTAGTTTATCGGATAAATTCCGAATTGACAAAAACTTTTACCGGCGAGTGTTTTTCGCGGTTTTTCGGATTTATCCGAAAACACGGAGTCCTAGTTATACTGTAGTTATACGTAACACAATCCAACGTAGGCATACACTGCAGTGTGAATGGGCATTAAAGGGCCCCTAAAAAGAAAAAAAAAGAAAATTTTTTAACAGTCTGATAGGGACAGGCGCGTAAAAAATTATTTTACGCAAAAAAATTAGAGCAATTTTGACGGTGCGAGACGCGATTTAGCCAGTAATCACCTCCTTTCCACTTGTTTTCTCTCTCGTCATTTCGGGCGCGTGGAGGAGAGGTGGATCGGCTTCGCCTTCACGTTGAGGTGGAAAGAGCGAAAGACCGAGATGGTCCGTCCGGAATGACCCGTGACGTCATGGACTTTGCGCGCAGAATTTTAAGTAAATCTCTCGCCGTCCATATTGCTCTAAACAAAATTTTCGCGTAAAATTTATTTTTTGACACGCATGTCCCAATCAGTATGTTAAAAAAAAAAAAAAAAAACAGCCCATTTTTATTTTAGGGGCCTATTAGGGCCCCCTGAGAAAGTCCCGTTCACAGAGTAGCATTTCTTACGTTACGTTACGTGAGGAGTCACCTGGACATTCGTGCTTCGTATGTCGCGTGCAAAGCTACACCATAAATCGCGTACTACGCTTCGTGGGAAGCACGGATGTCCAGGTGAATCGCTGTATTGCAGAGCTTCCCGTTCCTGACAAGAATCGACAATGGGCATCCAACGGCGCGAGACACTTGCCATAAACAAATGCTGAAAAAAAAAAAAAGACTACTGTAAACGACTTAAATTTGGCAAGGACCTAATTTTTGCGAATTTCGCGAATCGCCTGCAATTCGCGAAAAATAGGTCCCGCGAACAATTCCGGTGAAGTGTAAACAGATTGAAATCTATATTGAGATCCAGCCGCGTCGCGAAAGTTAGAACCCGCGAATTATTCCAAAACTTCAGCTTTGACCTAAACCGTGAAATACTGAGCTTACGAAAAATAAGTCGGTGACAGTATTTAGCGCAATACTCTTCTATGAAAGTGCGTACCCTACAGTGACTGCTGCGTCGATTATGCGAGGTCGCCATATTTTGGTCAGGCACTTCAAGCATGGGACCGTTCGGCTGGGCCAGGGGGCGCGCTGGAGCGATACCTGTGGCGCCGCGC